AGGTCTATACAGACAGGCCGTGACGAGGTGGTCATGTGGTTGGGTTTACAACCAATGAGAAGGCAGAACAGAAACACTATAAAAAGACAGACACAGGCTGGGCAGTGGTGGCGCACGCCTTTAATCCCAGCACTCGGGAGGCAGAGGCAGGCGGATCTCTGGGAGTTTGAGGCCAGCCTGGGCTACATAGTGAGTTCCAGGAAAGGCGCAAAGCTACACAGAGAAACCCTGTCTCGAAAAACAAAAACAAAAACAAAAAAGACAGACACAGGAAGTAGTTCTGGTAGTTCTGGTTCGGAGAGGTAGGACCACCGCAGGAGGAAGGGTAAGGTTTTAGCTCTTAGCTCTGACCTCTTGGCTTTCTTCTTTGCATTGGTCCTGTGCTTCTTATTTAATAAGACGGTTGGTTACATCTGCAGCTGACCTCATCTCTACCCAGGTAGGCAGTGAGCTAGGGCCCCTCACTGGCCGTCTGCTCCCTGCCTAAGCAGGATGAGGCCACAAGTTCCCAGGCCCCTAGCTATCCAATTCTCCCTCCCACAAGCTTCCTCCAAGCTCACCCCATCCTCTTAGCTCCTCTCCAGTGAGGCCTCACCCCTTCGGATGTCACAGTCTGAGTGCTGAGAACTCATCAATACATCCTCTAAGTTTCTCTCTGTCTGCAGGGTACTGCTGGTTCTGAGTGCTGAGAACTCATCAATACATCCTCTAAGTTTCTCTCTGTCTGCAGGGTACTGCTGGTTCTGAGTGCTGAGAACTCATCAATACATCATCTAAGTTTCTCTCTGTCTGCAGGGTACTGCTGGTTCTGAGTGCTGAGAACTCATCAATACATCATCTAAGTTTCCTTTCTGTCTGCAGGGTACTGCTGGTCACGCACAGCCACTCACCAGGAACAGTCCACCTGCTTCAAACATCCCAGGTCCAGCACTCCGGGAGGATCAGGTGGGGGCCTGGGGCTGCAGATGCTGTCCTGGGGCAAAGCACCAGGCCTGGAGGGAAGGCCAGGCCTCCTCTCTCCCACTTCCCACAGGAAGTAGCTGTGTCAAGTATCTGACTTTCCTCTCCAACTTCCTCTTCTCCCTGCTGGCCCTGTGGGCCCTGGCAGCAGGGCTCTGGGGCCTGACTGTCAAAAGGTCTCCGGAGGGTGGCTGGGGTGGAGCCCTGCCCACGGACCCCATGTTGGGGCTGCTGCTGGGAGGCCTGCTGGTCAGCGTGGTGACCCTGTCTGGATGTCTGGGTGCTCTCTGCAAGAACAGCTGCCTACTGCGCTTCTACTGCGGAGCTGTCCTCACCTGCCTGGCCCTGGAAGCCCTGGCAGGGGCTCTGGTGGTGGCCCTCTGGGGTCCACTGCAGGATGGCCTCAAGTATACCCTACATGTGGCCATCGTCCACTACCGGGATGATCCAGACCTATGCTTCCTCCTCGACCAAGTCCAGCTGGGGCTGCAATGCTGTGGGGCAGTTTCCTACCAGGACTGGCAACAGAACCTGTGAGTGCCCCCCGCACCCCACACGGGCAAGAGAAGGGGTGGTCTGGGTGCCTCACTCACCCACTTGAGCATGCATGCGTATACATGTGTGTGTTCTCGTGTCCACATACAACCACACGCCTTGCACTTCTGCTTCCACATGCCTGCACACAAGTTTCCTTGTGTGCATACAAATGCACTCTCATATATCCCTTTTGTGTAAACACAAAACAAAGTCTCATCCTGAGGCACACACATACACCACATATACACAGACCGACATGCCAATGTGTGCACTTACTCACAAGGTATGTGGCACTTGCCTTTGCCTAGGCCATGGGCCTTAAACTTGAATGAGCCCAACTTTTGGCCAACTCTAGAGCCCAGACTCAGCTTCTCCACACTGTCCCTCCACTATGAGGATCAAATGGAGAGGCCAAGCCAGAAGATACCAGGAAAGTAATTTTTTTTAAAAAATCTCAGGACATCTCAGTGTCAAGAAAAATACCGTAGGTTAGTTGAGTTCATGACTCCACAGGTCTGTATGCATGTGTTCCTGTGAGTGTGATTGAACTTCCGATTTAGGCGTGACACAATATTTTATGTTCTGCTTGAGAGTCCCTGATTTGTCTGCATCTGCCCATGCACAGACACCCTGAGCCACGCCTGTCCTCCCTGTAACAGGCAGGATAAACCCCATGCTCCCTCCCTGAAGCCTCTGAGGCCAGTTAACATCGAGGGATGGAGACAGAGGAGGTTCTAAGAACCGGTCATTTGTTCTGAACATAGCCGCAATATATGGTGCCTACCATGCTCCTGGGATCCTGCAAAGCATCCCCTCTAACCCCCCCACTTCCCTCATCCCCCCCACGTCCCCCCCCCACACACACACACACTCCCCGGTTTCTGGGAGAACCTGGTCACAGAGAGTACACTCTGTTGGTAGCTGTCAGGGCCTGGTGAGCAGCTGAGGCTCCTTAGCCACCAGGGGGCTCCTCATAGCTCTGAGCCTTTGCTGCTGCCCACTACCACCCCTTATTGCAGCCGATTCTGCACGCTTCTCTGGGGACTCAGTCTGCTTCCTCTCTGATGCTGCCTGCTCAAGTGAACTCACAGTGTGGATGGGGCAAGGTCTTCTTACCGCCTCTTCTTCAACCACTTCACTGAACATTTCCTTGCCTGCCAAGACAGACACCCCACCCGATCCCCACCCCTGTCCGCAAGTACAGAGGGGTGTACGCATGTGATACAAGAAACTGAGTGTCGTGTGTGTGTGTGTGTGTGTGTGTGTGTGTGTGTGTGTGCGCGCGCGCGCGCGCGCACGTGTATGTACATGCCCCTTCATATGTACGCAAGGGTGCGTGCATGCGTGCATGCATGCACGCATGCGTGCGAGTCTGAAGGCAGGCCTCCTCTCCAGGACTAAACCTTGTATGCCTTGCAGGTACTTTAACTGCAGCTCTCCCGGGGTACAAGCCTGCAGCCTTCCTGCCTCCTGCTGCATCAACCCCAGGGAAGAGGGAGCTTTGGTGAACACTCAGTGTGGCTTTGGGGTGTTGCACCTGGACCCGGATGCAGCTGGACAAGTAGTATACCTGCAGGGCTGCTGGCCTGTGCTGCAACAGTGGCTGCGAGGGAACATGCGGGCCATAGGCAGCTGTGCCATCACTGTTGCTGTGATCCAAGGGACTGAACTGCTGTGGGCGGCCTGCCTGCTGAGGGCCCTGGCTGTCCAAAAGGCAGCAAAGGACACAGAACCCGGCCCTCTGGAAGGTGCCAGTACCACCCTCCCCACTGAGCAGAGCTGAAAAGACCCTGTACAGGACAAGTTCCAGGCCTCTCCTCATCTTCCAGGGAAGGTGTGGCAGGTCCCCACGGAACAGACTCCTGGACTCCACTCCTGGCCCACTGCCTCTTTGCTACATCTGTCGGTCCCACCTATGTACCGAGAATCTTAAAGGGTCTTAGTAATGAAAACAAACCTGGAGCCAGGTACTGGGGTGAACACTGGAAGATCAGAGAGACAGAACAAGCCACATCCAACCTCACCTTGCCAATTCCTCAGCTGGTCTTGTTTCTTCAGACTGAATGCCTGAGTCTTCATCTGGAATGAATCTCAGCTGAATTGCTGCTAAAAAGCCTAAACGCTTACCCAGGCTCTAGTTCCTGGTCCTCACGCCTTATATACCTTTCTGCTTCCTGCCATCACTTCCTGGGATTAAAGGTGTATGTCACCATGCCTAGCTGTTTCCAGTGTGGGTTTGAACTCACAGAGATCCAGCAGATCTCTGCCTTTGGAATGCTAGGATTAAAGGTGTGTGTGCCACCATTTTCTGTCCTCTATATCTAGTGGCTGTTCTGTTCTCTGACCCCAGATAAGTTTATTAGGGTGCACAATATATTGGGGAACACAATATCACCACACACCTAGACTGACTCTGTGCTGCCTCACTCCTGATTTCTCGGGACCCACCAAAGCCCATGGGTGTCTTTTGCAAAGGCTACCATGGTCTGTGCCTGAGCACACCTGCTTCCTACTAGGCTGGCAGGAAAGGGGATCCTGCTTCCAACCTCAGCTACCTACTCTGATCTAACTCACCCTGACTGGCTCTAGATCCCCATTTCCACAGGACTGGCTTCTCATGGGCCTCCTACTGCTTTCTGGTCTTTGGTGAGATGTAGGGTATGGCTCAGGCCACACCCTGTAGAAAGCTTCTTTTGGTAGAAGGAAGACTTGTTTATTGGTGTTTGCACTCACATTTGCATAGTAAACTACAGATCTCACAATGACCAGGACTGTCTTCCTCAAATCAAGATGGAGACAATTCCTCATTTCCCAGCTAGGGTTGAGTGTGGGCAGCCCAGTTCTGATTTCATCTGTAGAGTTAACATGGTCAGTCTGTGGCTGTCTCATAAGATGGGTCTTTTTCTTTTCTATTCTATTCTTTCTTTTTCAGACAGAGCCTGGTGTATTGCAGGCTGGCCTTGAACTCCCTAAGTAGCTGAGGTTGACCTTCACCCTCCTGCCTCCTGCTTACAAGTCTGAGATTACAAGGGTGCACTGCAATGCCCAGCACACAGGGTCCTTCTGAAAGCCATTTCCTGGTCATTCAAAGGGATAATCATATGCTTACCCTAAGTATTGTGGGTGCTTTGGGGTGCCCTACCTCTCAGAGTGGAACTCTCAGGTTACTGGGGTGCACAGCAGGTGTCAGCTCAGGCTTAGGATGACTGCCTGGGCCATGGGGCTACTCATTAGGTGCCTGTGTTTAGGTTTCTAGTTTGGTTCGTTCCTGCCTTCTTGGAGAATCTGCTTCATTGACTATGGCCACCAGGAGTGAGGGTCAGGGCCAGGCTCATATGTCCAGGACCTCCAGGCCGAGCCTCTGTGGAGTATGTGATTTATGGGAGTTTTTTTTCTTTCTCTCTCTTGCCAATCTCTCCTACTTCTACATGCCCTGAACCTTCCTCCATGGTACAGACAAAGCAACCCTACTGTATGTGCCACGCCCACCAAAGCACCTCAGATAAGCAAGGATATGCTAATTTTATTTTGCAATAGGGACAAGGGACAGAGTATGTTGGGAAGGCTGGTATAATGGGTGGAGTAACCTCGGTCTCTCTCACCACATCACCCCAGGACAGTGTCCCACCCCAAAACACCCATCTGGAAGGGTTGCAGGACAGAGGAACTTTCTTACCCACAGAAGGCAGTTCAGGGAAGCATTATTGGGGAGTCCACTCCTGCATTCCAGCCACAAGAAGGACAGGAGGTGGGGCTGGGTCCCCCTCCCTTCTTTCTTCTGACCAGGGACTTCAGGTCAGCAGAGTGGCCTGTGGGAGGCTGTCGGCTCTGGTGGCTGGTGTCAGGGCATGAAGTTGTCCCACCTGGAGGCCAGGGACAACCTGGCTAGGGACTCGGGCTTGGGCTTGGGCAGGGATCCTGGACAGGGCTTACAGAGGGTGGGAGTGGTAGGGAAGAGCGGGTCTCCAGCAGGCCTCTTCCATGGCTCACGTAGCAGGGACTGACTAAATGATGCCGTACTGAGCCAGCTCATGCAGCTCCAGATGGTTGAAGGCCTCCCAAGGGCAGATGACAGTGATGTCTGCAGGAAAGGTGTGGTTAGAAAGGGCTCCACGACCCCAGCACTGACCACAGCATTCCCTGTGTCCTGCTTTCCACTCCCCAAATAAAAGCCATGTCTGCCTAGGATGGGAGTCTAAACTCTGGTTGCGAATCTTCCTCCTCGGCAGGAAGCACCAACTTTGTCTTCTGGGTCCTGCCTCTAGTAGAGAGGAATGTGGCAGGCCCAAATGGGGAGCTCAAGGACCTTTTGCCGAAGTTGGGGGAATCAGCAAAAGTTTCTCCTGTGCCTAGAGATTCTACCCCCATGGAACAACCCCTCTCAGTGGGATCTGAAGTTTGATGTTGGGAGAGAAACAGAGGACAGGATGGGAATCAGGTTAAGCAATAAAGAGAGGAACCTGGGACCTGTGGGGGTGTGCCTGAGGGATGCAGGGGACTTAGGAGGAATATCCAGAGACAACAATCCTGAGTTGTCTTACCTGTTCCCAGGCCTTCCATTCCAGGGATGTCATCTCCAAACCTGCAAGGACAGAGTGGTCAGGGGTGATGTCTCCAGGTCTAGATCTAGCCACCCATGGAGACCAGACTGAAGGCTTCCTCCCCAACATCTGCTATGGGGCAGGGTCTGGGGGATCCCTTCCACTAACACAGGGCTAGTGTGCTTCCCAGAGATTCACAGGCTGAGGACCAGGAAAGAAAGAGTATGCCCAGGTACACATAGGCAGGCACCAACACAATGTTGCGTGGGTGGATTTGGGCTGTGGGTCTCTACAGGAGAGTGACATGGAATATGTGAGTGAGTGTGAGGGTGCTGTGTGTGTCTCCAGTGTGCAACAGTATTGAGAAGTGGTGGTTTTTTAAGAGGAGTGCCGAGAGACACTTTAAGAGAGTGTTCACAAGGGACCATTGCCATGGACTGATGCCATCCTCACAGGACAGGCTTATAACTCTATAGACAAGGTGGCTATAAGGGAGAGGCTGGTTCCTCTTGGCTTTCTAGTTTTCTCCGTCTCCATATGATCTGGCTCTTTTACCAGCACCCCTGCCACGATTCCATCCTCTAGGCTGTGCCATAGCCACAGGGTCTTTACCCGAGGTCAAACAGTTGAGACCACCTCTCCTGGAACTTTCAACCTCCAAAACAGCGGGCACAACAAATCTTTTCTGCACAAAGTATTCAGCTCCCATTATTTTGTCATAGCAACATAAAACTGGCCAAGACGTTGTCTATCGGTGTTCACATGTAGGTGGTGTCTGTGTGTGCGCAGGTGAATGTGGTGGGTACACACACACATCCCTGAGGAGATTCAGGCAGTCTGCTCTCCAGACCTGCCTGGCTGCATTTACACCTGGAGTAAAGGATGGGCCCTTGGTTCCCCTAAAACTCCTGAGGCCCCAGTTATCAGGAGGAAGACATATGCAAAGAACCATGGCCGGAGACCCACCCCAGCTTCCACCTTGTCCTCCCAGCAGCCTGGGAAGAGTGCTCCTTGTGGGAAAGGCTCCCCTCTGCTGTTAGGCTTACCCTTGGACGCCTTTCTTGGGGGGCTTGCTCTTGAACTGCCTGGTTTGCCGTTGCTTAAACTTAGGTGGTCCTTTCCTGGGGGTAACTGGTCCTCCTATAACCCGTGTGGCTGACCGAATCTCGGCCTTGGGTGGCTCCAGGTTCATGGTGAGGCTGTCAGAGACACTTCAGTGACTTCTGGACTCTGTCAGGCTGGGCTGTACTCCTCATGCAGGCTGGGGCAGACCAGACAGATGGATCCCATTAGCCTTGCTCTTCCCTTCCAACCTTAGGAGCAGAGTGCCTGGGACAGCTGCCTCCATTCCAGAGAGCCACCGCCAGCTCCACCAGGGCTCCCCAGCGCTCTCCTTCTCCTGGTACCATCAGACCCCTCCCACTCCCACTGCTGGCAGCCATACACAACTCATGAACTCCCTTGTGCCCATCCCATACTCCTAACTCATATCAAACACACACACACGCACACGCGCACATGCACAGACACACACAGACACACACAGACACACACACACACACACACACACACACACACGTCCCCAACCAGGGCTTTTTACTCCCTCCCTCCTTCTCATCCGCTGGAATCTGATCCAGCCATATCACTCTGTGAAAAGCCTTCTGAGGACTCCTGGGATGGTAAACAAAGAACACTCCTTCCTGATCCTGCAAGTGCTCCCCACAGCCTCTTACCTTCTCTTCCAGGTGAGCAGCCCCAGGCTGCTTTCACTGGTACCAGGTCCCTTCTCAGGAAGTCCTCCTCTGACTCTACCTCATGTCATTCTGTATTCCAGTCCTAATTTATGTCTTCATATCACATTCTGCTAAATTCCTCATTTATTTACATATGACCCTTTAAGCACGTTTGTTCATATTTATGTACTTGTTGGTTTTGGCTAATATTTGTCCCTTGGGGTTGGACTTGTTGCTGATACTTAATAATAAATGCTCCACAAAGTGGAACACAGAGATGCCCTAAGGAAAGGGCCTGTCTTTGAACCAGAAACAGCTGAACTTGGTACCCCTCACTTTCATGGCTCCGTTTCAGAGGGCCAAGCCAGAAGTAGGTCTCAGGGAGGGCAGTTACACTAGGATTGTTCCCTTAGGCTGCTCACTAGCTCACTGACTTGGGGCTTGTTCTTGGTTAGACATCATCTTAGGGCTCTGGTGAGGCTGAGTTGCCCTCGCTGCCCTGTATCAGGCCACAACCCAGAAGACACTATACAGGATGATCCCTCCTCCTCTTCCTAAGAGCTCTAAGCCCCAGTGACTTTGGCCAAGGACGGCACAGCTTTCTGTAATCCTATTAGCACCCGAAGGAGACTCCTAATCTCCCAGAGTTTCTAGGAAGCTGTATAAACCTCACATGCTGCTGAATACAGGTGACCCAGACAGGAGGTGCTGCCTCAACCCTTAGGCGTCCAAGGACCCTTTTCTGCTCTCTGTCCTATGTGGTATAGTGCCCATCCAGCCTTAAGCCACTGTCAGTGGTCTGCTGGAACATCAAGGCTGAGACTAGTCAGCAGACAGGATGAGTCTGTTGTAGGCAACGTCTCCCTCAATCTCAGTGGCTCCCCTACCCTTCCTAGTTTCAACCTCTATCTTTGAAGTTAGCACCAGCTTAGGAACCAGGACTCAGGAGCTTAGACCAGGCTTCTCAGTCCCTGAGGCATCCATCCCTTACTTCCCAGTGCTAAAACACTTCTCTAGCCAAAGGCCATGAACCCCCAACAGAGCTCCAGTGCTGTCTCCATGGAAACCATGCCTGAGATGCCTAACCCAGACTGACCTAAAGCTGGTGCCATTCAGTTATATGATCAGGTGGCTGGCTTTGGTAAGGCACTACCATTTGATACTGTGGAGAAGCAGAGGAGGTAACTGGCAGAATGTCCTCTCCAAAGGACAGGGAAAGGGGACAGGCGCCTAAAGACTCAAAGCTCAGCAGAGGCAGTAAAAGCCTGTTGGCTTCCCCCAACTCCAGCTCTGAATGAGCAGACATCTGGCTGTCAGAAAGGGCAGTGAGCTGGGTCACTACTCACCAAGCGCTGGACAGGTCTCAGGGAGCCGCAGGTGCCAGTTGGCTGGACCTGGGTCAGCAGAGCACTGGCCTAGGAATTTATCCTTTCCTGGTGAGCAGATTATGACTGTCTTCTCTGATGCTACACTAATGAGATTGCTGGGCCTTGAGGGAGCCACCACTGACTGGGATGCTGGGGGTGGGCGGGAGGGGTCCAGGTGCATCAAGGGCCTGAAGGAAGGACATCCAGTTCCAGAAGGTGGTCAAGAAGGGAAGGAGAAGTATTATCTTCACCAGCTGTGGGACTATGCCTCCAGAAACAACAGGGCATCTTCCAGACAGTTCTTGCCTGGCTTACCCCTCCCTTTCTGTCCCATCTACGAGGAACCTGACTGTGGACCCTGATGCTCTATGTGGCAGCCCCTATTTTTCCCCCTTGCCTTTCAGCCCTGTCTCTTACATTCCAACCCCAAGGCCTCTGCATGTGCCCAGTGTCTTAGGGGCCCTGCAGGCTAGGATAGGACACCTGTTTCAGATCAGCTTTTTTCTCTTTACACTCATTTGTATGTTTGGATAGAATTGGTTCGTTTTTGTTGTTGTTGTTTTGTTTGTTTTTCGAGACAGGGTTTCTCTGTGTAGCTTTGGAGCCTGTTCTGGAACTGGCTCTGTAGACCAGGCTGGCCTTGAACTCACAGAGATCCGCCTGCCTCTGCCTCCCAGGTGCTAGGATTAAAGGTGTGTACCACCACCACCCGGCTAGAAATCGTTTTTTGTTTGTTTTTTTTTTCTTTTCTTTTCTTTTCTTTTTTTAAAGATTTATTTATTATGTATACAGAAGAGGGCACCAGATCTCATTACAGGTGATTGTGAGCCACCATGTGGGTGCCTGGAATTGAACTCAAGACCTCTGGAAGAGCAGTTGGTACTCTTAACCTCTGGGCCATCTCTCCAGCCCCTTGTTTTTCTTTTTAAAGACATGGTCTTGGGGGGAGGACAGGGGAATCCGTGGCTGATATATAAAATTAAATTAAATTATAAAATAAAAAAATTAAAAAATAAAATAAGCCGGGCGGTGGTGGTGCACGCCTTTAATCCCAGCACTTGGGAGGTAGAGGCAGGTGGATCTCTGCGAGTTCAAGGCCAGCCTGGTCTCCAAAGCGAGTTCCAGGAAAGGCACAAAGCTACACAGAGAAACCCTGTCTCGAAAAACCAAAAAAATAAAATAAAATAAAATAAAATAAAGACATGGTCTTATGTAGTCCCATGCTGGTCTCAAACTTTAGGATGGTCTTGAAGTCTTTGTCCTCCTCAGCCCTCCAAGTGTTGGAATTACAAGCATGTGCCAACACAACCAGCTCTGCATGATTTTGTGTTAACCTTTGTCTTCTACTCTGGAGTGGTAGGGGAGGCATGTTATACTGCTAGTGTCTGGTCCACTATGGAGCATTTCACAGATGCATGGTAGTAAGTACCTGGGAATAAAATTGATGGATAGGATAAGATGCAGGCCAGTGTGGCAGAGTCTGAGAACTTAAGTGCCACATACCCAGAAGCAGACGTGGACCCACTGCAAAGGGATGGTCAATGCCTTTTCTTTGAGGGCATCTCATACTGCCTGGCCTTACTGTCAAATCTGGAAATGCTGATTTTTATAGGACTCACGGTGTTAACATTTCCTGGAGATGTGAACAAATGTCTACCTACACTAAGTATGGCCCACTCCTTTAATCCCAATACTCGGGAGACAGAGGCAGGCAGATCTCTGTGCATTCAAGGAGTTCCAGGACAGCCAACGCTACACAGAGAAAACCTGTCTAGAAAAACCAACCTTCTTTTGAACCTCTTTTCAGAAGGAAATGTTTCAATCTACAGTAAATAGCTACACAAAAGTCTAGGATCTAATAGATGTCACTATTATCACGTTTAACTGGGCCCAGACTCTGCTGAGTACTTTGGATGGCATGCATCATCTGTCCAAGATGCCAGCCTAAACTGTCTTCTGTCACCCACTAGCAAATGCCCAGACTTTCTGGTCTTAGTTTTGTCACAGATCTGTGTAAGACACCAAACCTGGAAAAAGCCTTATTTATCAGCTTAAAACCAATAGGAAGTCACTCTATAATCCTAGCTTTCCCCTTAAACAAAGTTAGGTAGGTACAAATACATTTAAGTGGGGGCTGGAGAGATGGCTCAGCGGTTAAGAGCACTGACTGCTCTTCCAGAGGTCCTGAGTCCAATTCCCAGCAACCACATGGTGGCTCACAACCATCTGTAATGAGATCTGGTGCCCTCTTCTGGCCTGCTGTCATATATGCTGTATACATAATAAAAAATAAAATCTTTAAAAAAAAACCACACACACAAATACATATAAGCTCAGCCCTTGCTAGTACCTTGCAGCTGATTCTGGAGCTTGATGTCCCAACTGCATCTAGCAGTATTCAGACCTCTAAGGGAGGACCTACAGGGAAGAAAGAACCCCCTCCCCACACCCCAACCCCCACACCCCCTGACCCAGCAGGAGGCAGGGAGCAGCTAGGCCCCTCTCACATGATGGTTCTCATTTACCACACAGATGGGAACCAGAGCTTACTGTTAGCAGAACATCCCAGGTACACTGGGGTCTGGAGGTGCTCCTGTCACAGGATGTTCAGGGAGATGAGGGTTTTAGTTCATCTTCACCAGTGAGGAAAGCTGTGGCTCCTCAGCAGGGGCACACAGCTAGCCTAGGTATGCTTTCGTTGACAACACAGACAGAGGGACAACACAACTTGGTTGTCACAGAGAATTTATTCAGAGGTGAAGTTGTTACACAATAGTTTCTATTCCTGGTGGACATGTGGAATCTCCCAGACTCAAGAATAAAAGTGGCCCTGCTGCTTCTAAAGGGTGGCACCTGTCTACAGCGAGGAGTCCCAGGTAAACTGGCTCAGCTTCTACTCTGTGTGCGGAGCCGGATCTCCATTCTGAGGAAGGCCTTGAGGTTCTCATCAGTCACATGCTCCTCTAGAGTGGCCAGGGCCTTCTCCCCACCATCCTGGTAATGCCTCAGCAGAGCTTCTGCATAATCTACCCACACACAGTTAGGACAGCCACTCATGCAGCAGTTTGTGGGAGGCTGGAGCTCAGGTGACAGAGAGTCCGGGGGTTTTATGAGGTTCTCCGGGGGCTGGGAGGCCTTTGGCTTCCTGTCATCCTCTGCACCTTCCCTGTGGTCCATCCCCAACTTTCTGCAGCTATCAGAGGCTTGCACTGGAGCATGGTGTCTGTGGAGAACACTGTGTCTTCCTCGGGGAAGACTCTGGCAGCAGTCCCAGCCGGAGAACTGTTGTGTCCCCTGTGAACATGGGATAATCAGTATGACTCTCCCGGAAGCTGGGAAGGCATTGGGAATGTTTAGTCTTTCTAGCACTGGACCAGTGGCTCAACGTCCTTCTCAACCTCCTCACTTCCTGCAGGACCGTAGACAAGTTATTATAGTTCACTTCTGTGTACTGTTTCCCTGTCTGTGAAATGGACGTATTGGTTGGTATGAGAAGACATTTAAGGGCCTGGTTCAGTGCCAGGCACTGGGCCTGAGCTCCAAACGACTGCAGGAGGAACAGCTCTAGATCAGACGACTAGATCGATGACTGATCGTGGACAGGAGGAGGCGAAGGCCACAGAGCCGGCTGACCCTCACCAGCCAGTTTTAACTAAGCACGTCTCCTCTGACCGTTCTGACTATCTATCCGCACCCTCCTCAGTCCTGCATCTCCCTTCCATCATTTCACAAGAGAAGCTCAAAGCATATCGGGTCACCCCGTTCTCCGCCTCTAACGCCTCAAAGACACTTGGGTCTGACATTCACCCGTGACCCGGTCACTAGGTACTCTTGCAATTTACGTGCCCGCTAACTCGTCTGGGGCCCAAAACTGAAGAAAGCTCTCAGTGAGCTCGCTGACCGTGACTCCTCCAAGGGCGGGCTGGCCTCCCAGACTTGGGACACCCCGGCTGTGCGAAAGGCTTCTGGCCACCCAGCTGGGGCACTGCGGCCCACTCGGCCCGCGAGTACTTGCCCAGTAGCAGAGCTCAGTTCCCACCCGGCCTCGCCGGGACAGGCTCTGCAGCAGTATTCCCATAGCTGGTGCAGACGCTGAGGCCAATGAATTTGGGAAGGAGCGCAGGAAGCGGAAGTGATGCTCATAGGGCGGGGTCTTGCAAGAGGGCGGAAATGGCTTCGTGCTGGGAGCTCCTGGAGTAATAATGGCAGGGTCTGGACGTGCAGCCGTGGCAACCGCCCGGTCGGCGGGTCTTGGAGGCTCGGGACAGCCGCACGCGCGGCGGCAGCAGCAGTCGCAGGGACAGCAGCGCTCGGCCTCACGGCCCGGACAGCGCAGGTGGGTGCGGTCCCCAGGATCGGACTCAGCTGGGAGCTTCTCTACATAACTCAGGCCAGGCCCGTTCTCAGCCATGTGTTGAATGAACGGTGTCTCAAGTTTCTTGTGCGGCACGTTCCGGGTATGAGGCCATGGCTGCTGCCTCCCTGGGCTTTCGTAGCACCTTTTGCTTTTTAGCAAGCTGAGAAGATCCAGTTCAAGGCAGCCTGGGTCAAGGGTGAGGAGAGGACCGTCTGTTCATGGCCCCAGCACGGCTTCTTTACAGGCGTAATAATCCTTATTTTGTTTCTGCTTATGTTGTACTAGGGAAGGGTCTCATTCCTGGGTTATCTTTCCAGCAAAGAAAAGAAGAAAGTGAATTGCAAGCCCAAGAACCAAGATGAGCAAGAAATCCCTTTCCGACTCCGAGAGATTATGAGGAGCCGACAGGAGATGAAAAAGGCGCTCAGTAACAAGAAGAGAAAGAAGGAGGGTATGTACAGCCCTTGCTAGGTGCCAGCATAGCTTTGTACCCATCCAGTTGCCCAAAGACTTAGAGGTGTTTGAGGCAGGGGTGCAGAGTATGGGAAGGAGCACTGAGGGGAGGACGGCGGAGCCCTGAGGGGAGGACAGCGGAGCCCTGAGGGGAGGACGGCGCAGCACAGACTTGACAGCAGTCTCTTCTGTAATTCACCACGCTTGGACTTTTGAGATTTTTTAAATTATGTACAGGCAAGTGTGACTGGTCGGGAGGAATGTGCGTGCAGTTGCTAGCAGAGGCCAGGAGAGGGTGTTGGATCTCCTTGACCAAACCCAGGTCCTTGAGGTGTACATATTCTTAATGGCTGAGCTATCTCTCCAATGGAACTGGTGTGTTTTTTTTTCCGGAAACAGGGTTTCTCAGTGTATCCCTGGCTTTCCTGGAACTTGTTTTGTAGAACAGGCTGGCCTTGAATTGAGGGAAATCCTCCTGCCTCTGCCTCCAGAGTGGCTGGGATTAAAGATCAGGTTTTGTTTTTGTTTTTTTTCGAGATAGGGTTTCTCTGTGTAGCAGTCTTGGCTGTTCTAGTACTCCATTTGTAGACCAGGCTGGCCTCAGACTCACAGAGATCCACTTGCCTCTGCCTCCTGAGTGCTGGATTACAGGTGTGCACTCCTGTAATGCTGGAACTCTGGTTTCTTTGTTCACCTGTGTTGGCAGTGGACATCTTTGACAGGAGCCAGTGGTCATGAGATCACATCTGTAGGGTTGCTCTGAACTGAACATTTTAGATCTCTGCTTGTCCTTAAGCCTGGCCTTCCCTTCTTGTTGCTGTGGGAGGGAAATGGTCATGGGCTGCTTACCTGTCACCAGCCACTGTCCTGGGCATCGTCTTACACCTACTCTGGGTGTCCTTTGTCCTCAGCCCAGGTGGCTTTCAGGAAGACCTTGGAAAAGGAAGCAAAGGGAGAAGAGCCAGACATCATTGTCCCCAAGTTCAAGCAAAGGAAGGGAGAGTCTGATGTGGCCTACATCCAGCGCATGGAGCAGGAGGCCCAGCATGTGCTGTTCCTTAGCAAGAACCAGGCCACTCGGCAGCCAGAGGTGCAGGCAGCTCCCAAGAAGGAGAAGTCCGAACGGAAGAAAGCGTGAGTTGAACCTGGAGCCCCAGGGCTGTGGGTTCTGGTGACAGGAAGAACTGGACAGGAAGGGCACTTGAATGCCTTGGGTGGAAAAAGATAAACTTGCTGTCTGCTACAGGAGAACTTACTGGATGCTAAGACATTATCCCCAAGGAACTCACCCTGTGGAATGGCCCCTGTGAGGCTGGCATGCAGCCTGTCACCTGCTCTGTAGTGGGTTATGCAGCCTGTCACCTGCTCTGTAGTGGGTTATGCAGCCTGTCACCTGCTCTGAAGTGGGTTATGCAGCCTGTCACCTGCTCTGAAGTGGGTTATGTAGCCTGTCACCTGCTTTGTAGTGGGTTCATCTCTAGTGTTCCTCTTGGTTTTCTAAGAGACTTGAGTCTGTCTCGTTTGTGCAAGTTCTGTGTGGTCTTGGCCTGGTGTCCTTGACGGTAAAGAAGAGTTAATGCCACTGTCACGATGGTCAGCCATGCTCTGTATCATCCATAGGGATGGTGTCCAAGGATGGAAGCCCGCCACAAGCTTGAGTCCCCCAACTTACTCAGTCACCTCCTGCCCAGGCTGCCCCTGGCTTGTGTGCAGGCAAAAAAAAAAAAAAAAAAAAAAGTATTTACTTATTTATTTATATGCACGAACCACAACTTTCAGGAAGAATCAGCCCAGAATTGCTTTCTTACTTTCTTTTTCTTTTCTTTTCTTTTTTTTTTTTTTTTAAGTGTTTTTGAGACAGGGTTTCACTGTAGCCCTGGCTGTCCTAGAACGAATTCTGTATACCAGGGTGGCCTGGAACTCAGAGATCTGCCTGGCTCAGCCTGGGCTTTCATTGAAGTTGAAGAAAAATTCCAACCATGCATGGGTGGCTCATGCCTATAATTCCAAGATCCAGGAGGCTGAGGTTTGGGGCCTGCTGTGAGTTCAGGCCAGACAGGGTCTCAAACAAAAAGATGACCAACAAAAATGGCTACGTTGCCTACTTTTTCTCCTCACTAGTACAGGAAACGTGTCCTTTTTATTCTGATGAGATTGCTTTCTACTTCCTTCTAGTATTATAGTTACATGAACCAAAGCCCAGTCTAAAGCCGCAGTAGTCTCCAAATGCTCACAGAGGTATGGTGTGAGCAGGGTGGAGGTGGCACCCACCTTTAATCCCAGCACTCAGGAGGCAGAGCCAGGTTGGATCTCTGTGAGTTCAAGGCCAGCCTGATCTACAGAGCGAGTTCCAGGATAGGCTCCAAAGCTACACAGAGAAACCCTGTCTCGAACAAAAAAAAAAGAAAAAGAGGTGTGGTGTGTCACACATACAGTACTTTGCAAGGCCCTTTTGACCCAGTCTCACAACTGACATTCAATATGGAGTGCATTGTTCCAGGTAGACAGCCCATGGCTCCTAGCAGTGTGGCCATGCTCATTGTAAGGTACTTAGCCACATCCTTGCCATCCTTTTGACAACCCAGAATGTCTAGGCTTTATCATTGTTCCTTGGAGCTGAGAACTGCTGACTGGTATAGCTGAAAGTTTTCCTGTGTTCCACCCGGTCTGCAGCCGCTCAGACCCAAGTAAACACACAGAGGCTTATATTAATTAAAACTGCTCAGCCATTAGCTCAGGCCTACCACCGACTAGCCCTTACACCGAAACTCAGCCCATTTCTGTTAATCTATATGTTGTCATGTGTTCCGTGGCTTTTCCTGTGTGCCATTACATGCTGCTCCCTGGACAGCAGGCTGGCGTCTCCTGCTCAGCCTTCCATGTCCCAGAATTCTCCTTGCCTGCTTATCCTGCCTTTACTTGCTGCCTGGCCACTGGCCAATCAGTGTTTTATTAAACCAGTGTACAAAAGCATTATCCCACAGCATTGGGAAGCCTGTTGGGTGCAGAGCATGGGTTTGCCTCCCAGCTCCACATCTTGCAGTCCTTGAGAGCAGGCTGACCTTTGCTGCCCCTAAGATGGAACAAGAGCTTAGGAGTCTGAAAAGCATGTACTTCTGCCCAGGTTTCAGAAGCGGCGACTTGAAAAAGCCCAGAAGAAAAAGGAGGCACGAGCAGTGGAGAGACTGGAGCAGGAGCTGCTCAAAGGTAGCTCTTCCCCTAGGAGGCACAGAAGCTGCAGTCCCCTTAGGGCCCCACCTGGTCTTTCCCTTAGATCTCCTTGGGGCACCTGTGGACTCTCCCAGGCTCATCACTAGTGGGCCAGTGGTTGAGTGAGTTCTGAAGCCCCCAAGAAAGGGAGGGTGGGTGGTGAGCCAGAAATGGCTCGGGCTCTGTCAACAGCGGCTTCTGGTCACTGTCTTTGCAGACACTGTGAAGTTTGGAGACGTTGTGCTACAGCCCCCAGAGCTGACAGTCCAGCCTAGAAGGAGCACGAGCAGAGATGCGGTATGTGGGGACCAAGTAATGCAGGGAGCGGGGATCGGCAGGGTCCTTCCTGTTTCTGCTGGGGAACAAGCGTCCTGGCCCAAGAGCTTCTTTAAGGACTGTGAGCTGCTGCACCGGCCAAAGCCCTCTGCCATCTTTTCCAGCTCAGCTTGTGCCACAACGTTCTCTTTCCTCAGCCTGGCAAGAAACCGCTAATGCTAAAGATGCTTTTGGGCCCTGGTGGTGTGTCCCTGACTCCAGCCACCTCACTGGCCCGCCAGCGGATCCTGGGGGAAGAGCGGGAACGTGCTGTGCAGGCTTACAGAGCCCTGAAGAAGCTGCAGCGACAGGAAGTGACGCCTGCCCAGCCACCTGGCAGCTCTTCTCAGAGGAAGCTCCAAACTTGTCTGTGATTCAGAGACCCAAGGGTGCAATCCCCTGGAAACTGGCCTGGGAGCTGCTAGACCTGGAAAGGGAAAGACAGCAGATGCTTTCTCTGGATAGGGGCCTGAGCATAAGCTTTCAGTATGGGGATGGGGTGTTTCATTATGGGGATGGGTGCTTCCCTTTCCCCTTCCCCTTTTAAGATCATCCTTCTCAGAGTGACCACCCAGGAATCCCGTCCCGTACAGGGCACGTTTCCGCAGCACTTGCCTGGGGCACAGAGGGAAGGGCTGGTGTTTCCCTGAGCCTACCTTCATTCTGACACAAGACTCAGGGAAGACAAGCCGGGACCACTGCAGAAAGGACTCAATTCCTAATCCAGCTGATTACTGAAGCTGCTGATGAAGGTCAGCCTTGTGTCTTAAGAGGTTCCCCGGGTTCAGTGCAATGCAAGGCAGGGACGGGGCAAAGCAGGTTAACAGGACCGTGGAAGGGCAGGTGTATCAGTCAGGTGCCTGGCAGTCAGCACCTTATTTGCCTGCAGGGGTCTGTACAAGAGGCCAGAGCCCCAGTCTAGGTTTGGTTTGGATAGAGATGGGGTGTCGGTACTGGCTGAGCACCTTGAGGTATACACATAGCCAGGTTTCAGTGGTAGGAAGGGCAGAGGGGTTATACCAAGAAAGTAGGAACAGGTTCATGTCCTGCATAACAGTACTCTGGGAAATAGGGCAGTGTAGCTAGAGTTTTTCTGCCTTGCCCACAGTCAGGACAAATCTTTGTCACCTGCCAGTCCCACAGCCGCTCAGACCCAACCAAGTAAACACAGAGACTTACATTGCTTACAAACTGTATGGCTGTGGCAGGTTTTTTGCTAACTGTTCTTATACCTTAAATTAATTCATTTCCATAAATCTATACCTTGCCACGTGGCTCTTGGCTTACCGGCGTCTTTACATGCTGCTTGTCATGGCGGCGGCTGGCAGTGACTCCTTCCGCCTTCCTGTTCTTTCTTTTCTCCTCTGTTAGTCCCGCCTATACTTCCTGCCTAGCCACTGGCCAATCAGTGTTTTATTTATTGACCAATCAGAGTAATTTGACATACAGACCATCCCACAGCAGGGCAGGCCTTCTGAGAGGACCAGGGTTGGAATCTGGTTGAGCATGTCTCCCATAGTACCAAAAGAGGGAGTACTTGATACTAAACTCATCTAAACCTCAGGAGTGTGGTACCACCCAATAATCCTGACACCTAGGAGGTAGAGGTGGAAGAATTGGGAGTTCAAAGCCAGTCTTGACTACATGAGACAGTATTTAAAACAACAACAACAACAAAAAAAAAAAACCAGCAGCAATAAAAAACACATGTAGACATCAAAAGAGCTAGGCTTGGGCCCTGCTGGGGAGGCACAGTCTGATTAAATTTGCTGTCTTTGAAGTCTGGACCGTTGCTCTCTGACGCATGACTCAGTCCCAGTCAGTGCAGGTCAGTGTGACTGGGGATGAGTGCTTAGACACAGCACCCAACAGTAGCACTGGCCACTTATCTCCCACTAAGTATCCGGACTAGAGACAGGGCCCAGAGCCACTGTTACTAGAACTGCAGTCGCTGCAGCTTCTTTTCTGTTCTTTCCAGAAGCAGTGTCATCATCCACTTAAAGCACAATTGGCCAATTCTGTGAACTGCAGTAAAGTCAAGTCTGGGTAACTCTCTCTTACCCATATGTACCTTTGGTATGTCTTTAAAGAAGCTCACACCTATGCTTTCAGGTATTTTTATTTTTTTTGTTTTTTCTAGACAGGGTTTCTCTGTGTAGTTTTGGTGCCTATTCTGGATCTCACCCTGTAGACCAGGCTGGCCTCGAACTCACAGAGATCTGCCTTCCAAGTACTGGAATTAAGGCATGTGCGACCACTGCCCAGCGGTATTACTTTTAAAAAAGATTTATTTATCACATATACAGTCTTCTGCATGCAGGAATGCCTGCATGCCAGCAGAGGGCACCAGATCTCATTATAGATGGTTGTGAGCCATCTTGTGGTTGCTGGGAACTGAACTTGCAAGAGCAGGCAGCACTTTCAACCCCTGAGCCGTTTCTCCAGCCCCTCAGGTATTCTCTTTTAGGTGCTTTTCTTTCTCAGAATACCTATAGTAAATCTCTGGTTTAAAATCTCTGCTTTATCACAAAAGGATTGTTTACCTGTGCTTAAGCCTTCTCAAATGGATCTTGGACCTAATGATGGTATGGAGCCACCTGTCTAGTATGGTCTTCCCATTCTTCCCACTTCTGCTGTGGAAGACCATAAGGCAGCTCTTGCTCCTTGCCTACTCCAAGGTCAGGCCTGGACTTTGCTACCATTTTGGACTCCTGACTCTTTCAGAGCAGCACTCTTTAAATATTAACAGGTAGGCTGGGGCATCACCACTGTTGCCTCAGTGACTGACTAGGTACTGACATGTAAAGGTAGAACACCCCTGGGGGTCCCCAGACCTCCCCACTTTGTCCTGATTGAAAACCAAGCACCTTGATCTTAGTAACTGGCTACAGGTTCTTTTCAGCAGATTTTTTTTTTTTTTTTTTTTTCGAGACAGGGTTTCTCTGTGTAGCTTTGCGCCTTTCCTGGAACTCACTTGGTAGCCCAGGCTAGCCTCGAACTCACAAAGATCCGCCTGGCTCTGCCTCCCGAGTGCTGGGATTAAAGGCGTGCGCCACCACCGCCCGGCTCTTTTCAGCAGATTTAAGCCCAAATCGGGCACTTCAAGCTGATCAGACTGATGCGTGGGTCAACCCACTAAGTATTCTCTACCAAGCTGATCTAAGATGACGAGTCCTGGCCCAATGGACCCACCCCTGTGCCATCTGTGCCTCTTACTGCTCACCCGTGGGAACTCCTACCCCTGTGCGTGTCTTTGAGCAATAAAAGTTCACTGAACAAATGAATCAATGAAAACACTTGTTTCTGGTGAAGTAAACCCCCCCCCCCCATCTTTTTGTTTTTTTTGAGACTGTTTGTGTAGACCATAATGGCCTGGAACCAGATCCTCCTGCCTCTGCCTCCCAAGAAATGTTCCACCACACCTGGTCCCCCACACCCCACCTTTTTGAGAGAAGCTCTTCTGACCCCAGTGTTGCCTCGGTTCTTTAACCCCTCAACTCAAAATAATCCCTCCACTGTGGCTCGAGCCACAGGCCTGCACCACCACATCCTGCCTGGTTTTTGTTTCTCATTTGAGACACAGTTCTTATACTCACTTCATGAACTTTATATTTTTTTCTGGAGAACATGGTCAGAATATCAAACTCAGAAGGGCAGAGCTTGTACTACAAAAAGATCTGGTCTCAGTGGAGCAGTACAGTCCAAAGCCCTCAGGCATAGGTCCAGAGTTTCCTGGTGGGAGTCCCAGCAGCACTTTTATCTAGATGGCAAGAAGACATCCAGCCACCTGCAGTTCTGTCCTCTCCCAGTCTTGGGGACATTCTTCAGAGGCAAGCTGACAGTAGTGTCTACAGCGTATGCTTGTTCACCCATCGCTGCATAGGTCCCTATCACTTAGGGATGCTCTGGGTGGGTCTGCTTCTCTCGAACAGACCTTCGGAGGCCGCCTGTCACTCTTGGTCGTCTAGGCACTGGGTGGGTCAGCCATAATTCTCCATCTTGCAGTCAGCTGCTGCATTTGTGTTGCTCCTGGAGCCAGAGCAGTACCGTCGCCAAGCCAGTGCCGTTCCTGGCACTTATTTCTGCTGTGGTGATGTTCTGCTTGGCACAGGCAATGATGTCTGGAAGCCTGATTAATGACTTTATTTCCTCCATGGTCATGTAACAGGGAAGGTCACTGTGGTTAAAGAAACACTTCATCAGAAGGTGACTGCCACAAACTTACCCTACCCAAAGTTGCACCTCCCCAATGTGGATCCCATGGTCCAGGCTGCAGTCAAGGACAGCAACTCCTTGGAGCATCCTGTCCTTCATTAGCCCCTAGACCCATACATTTTATTGAAGAGTATCAGGACCGAGGCTTTTGAAAGTTCTTCTGCAGAAAGGAGACCCAAGAGCTGCATGCAGGATGCAGAGAGCTGGGTGGGGTTAGAGGCATCCATCACGAACTAGGGAAAAGGAAACATTTGCTAAGAAGGTTTTCCTGGCCAATCCTTGTACTAATACACTATGAACCCTAATAAATCTGCCTGAAGATCAGAGAACAGAACAGCCACTAGATTAAACATAGAAGCCAGGCAGTGGTGGCACACACCTTTAATCCTAGCACTTGGGAGGCAGAGATCCATCTGGATCTCTGTGCGTTCAAAGCCACCTTGGACTACCATGAAATTGATTCAGTCTAGGAGAGAAAAAGAGCCAGGTAGTGGTGGCACACACCTTTAATCCCAATACTTGGGAGTTACACGCCTTTAATCCCAGCACTTGAGATCTCACGCCTTTGTTTGGGAAGCACATGTGCCTTTAATCCCAGCACTAAGAAGGAAATGTTATGGCTGGAAAGGTGTGTAAGGTGTGAGGAGACAGAAACTAAGGCCTTTTCAGGCTGGGGAGACGTGGCAGTGGCCTGTTTCTTTGTCTCTCTGATCTTTCAGCACTTACCACAGTTTCTGGCTCAGGGTTTTTAGTATAAGACCTTTAGGAGTTCCTCCTAATCCTCCCCTTGGGCATTGCACAAGTGACTCAGGGATAGCATACAGAACTTTTTAAAATGATCATTCAGGACGCTGGGGGTTGAATGTAGGGCTTCAAGTGTGACTAGCCATGCACTCTGCTGAGCTGCATGCCTGGCCTCACCGTGGCTTTTAAGCAAAAAGGTTTTGGAAACGCAGCAAAGGGAGTTATGTGAGGATGACTTGGTGTCACTGGTGTCTTTTTAAGTAAAGTCTACTCCGGTGGCCATCAGTTCGCCATCCCAGAATTTGGAGGCCTTTCCTCGTGGGGATGTGACCGACTATAGGGATACGGAAACGTTGGGCATATTCAGGTACCACGGCAGAGAACAAACAGTGCCTTCAGCAAACCCTCCTGGAGTCTGAGCCCTGCTCAGGAGCTCAGACCAATGCCTAAGAGCAAGCAATGTAGCCTGAGTCCTGGTTCCTTGAGCACAATCATCAAAGACCCCAACCCCTATCGCATATAAAGCAGGGTCCGCTACTTGATGGCTCAGGGAGACGGACACACTGCTCCCAAAAGAAGCTCGAAGTGTTGACTCACCAGGAGCGAATGGCAGTTTCCATAGTAACTGGACCAGATGGGGCTCATGCAACCCCCGAGCTCTCGGATGGTGATCTTCCTGTGGGCCACGATGTCAGTGAGGTTGGTGCCCACCTTTGGGGAAAAAAAACCACGGCGCACAGCGACCAGTGTAAGCGCTGTGCCATTGTGAATTCCTAGATGGCAGCTCTGCGATGTGGGTGGGTGGGGGGTGGCTAAACCTCGAGAGTGACAACCGTTCAAGCCCTTCCGCAGGGCTCGCCACCAAGAGCAGCAGCTCTCTGGGGCTCCAGGCCAACGTCAACCACAGAGATGGGCCCTGAGGGTGACAGCGAAATAAGTCCCTCGGGAGGGGACAGACAAGTGCCCACGGGAAGGTGGGCTTCGGGTTCTCCGCAGGTTCGGGAGTTCTCTCCCGAAGGCAGTACCCAACCCACCGACCGCCTGGAGAAGCCCGAGGCGCCTTCTAAGTCGCAAAAGCACCCCGCGTTAGCTAGTCAGACCTGGGAGAGCGGACACCTACCGTGGGCCGCGTAGGCGGAGGCTCCCCCAGGCCGCCCTCGCCATCTCCCGAGCTCAGCTGTTCGGGTGGTCAAGGGCATGAGTGAGGCTGAGGACGGAGTTCCCGTCCCGGATCACCCCGGTGTGTCCCCCGCCCTGCCGGGGGCCCTGCCTGCCCACGTGCTGCGGAAGGATATTCTGCAGGCGTTTCACCAGCAGGGTCTTCCCGACTCCTGCAGCCCCGACCAGGAGACACATCCCGGGCCGCTCAACTTGGCACCCGTACCCCTGAGCGCCGCCGCCGCGAGGCCCGCCTCCCTGAGCTTTCATTGGATAGACCTCTCGTCCAAATTGCTCATTGGTTAGTCGCGCGGTCCAATGACGCTCAGAGTCAGTGAGCGAGCGCAAGGCCTTGCCTTGGGGCCGGTCTCGGGGTGGCGCGGTGACGTGCGCTTGCGCGCGCAGAAAAACAAAGACGGAAGCGGAAGTTGGGGGGCGCGTCAGCTCCGAAAGAGGGAGCGCCCGCGGCGTCGGTCCGGAGTGGGGTCGCCATGGGGCGAGGCAGCGGCACCTTCGAGCGTCTCCTAGGTAACGCGTCCGCCAGCCAGCCAGCTCGCCGTCTGCCCTCTCGCGCACCCGCCAGACGCTGCCTCCATAGGTCTCAGGGGAGCGGGCCGGCCGCTCTGACCAGCCGGCGGCCTCCCGGGATCACTGCACCTTTCCCGGGCCTCGGGTGTGGCCGTCGGGGTTGTGTATCACGACCCCGGGGTTCCAGGGAGGAATGCTCTTGGGGAGTCCACGATGGACCTCGCTTCCTCCGGGTCCGACGCCCCCGAATCGATTGGGCCAAAGTCCTGAGTCATGAAGTATATGACTCAGATCTTAGCCTCGTGCGGGTCCTTTGACCCCAATCCCAGCCCGAAGGGTGGAATCGATACTGCCCTCAAACCTTCTGAGGCCCTTGGGGACTGCCTTCTGGGACCCCAGCCCGCCCCATCCTCTCTATCCCTTGGGCCCTGGAAGTGTCCCTGGGTTTTGGAAGACATTCTCTCTCGTTGTTGTAGGTGCTTGTTGATCCTATTTGATCCTGCTGGAGAGTGTGAATTTTAGGAGGGACAATGGGTTTGCCATGCATGCCCCATTCTCTCAATAAAAATGTCTTGTGTCCAGGAACAAGCGACAGGGTGCCACCATAGTCCGTTCATTTGCTTCTTCCTGAACTAGGGTTTTCAAGGGGGCTGCAGATGAAGCGTTTTCCTTACTCTCACTTCTGGGGAGGTTCAACACTTTAGGTATGAATCCAGTAATTTGCTGGATCAGTAACGAAATTGGTGTGTCTTTGGATAGCTCATTCTTATAGAAGGGAGGTGATAAGGATGTGAAGAGTGTTAGCTGGGGAATCCTCGGAGGTTTTGTTTTACCCCCTCCACTTGGAGTGGAGAAGTCATGGTCCCTCCTCATCTCTCTAGTGATTGCCTGGCTAAGAGCTACTGTAAAGGACAAAACATCTAATGATGACACTCTGACCCCGTTGAGAAGAAGCAGCACATGGCGATTCAAAGTGCCCAGCAAGCTGCGGTATAGGGCATCCACTTCCCTCTATCTTTAAAGGGGGTGGAGGTAGTGCCTTTCTCATGAAGTTCTGAGTGACTTCAGAGTTTGAAATGACAGCTGATAGGGAACAAGCACAGCAGCCATTGTTTTCTAATTTCCACATTATTTGCTTCTTGCACGGGAGGACACCATTCGAACCGTTGTTGTCAGTGCTTCAAGAGGATTTTCTGTTCGGTTTAACAAGAGGGAACTTGCTAACCTGGGAGCCAACCTAGGGAGCACAGCACAATGGGCCCCTTGAGTGACATCTCTCTCTTTTAGACAAAGCCACCAGCCAGCTTCTGTTGGAGACGGACTGGGAGTCCATTCTACAGATCTGCGACCTGATCCGTCAGGGAGACACACAGTAAGTGAGGAGGGCCTGTCCTGTAAAGCGAGGGGCAGCCACGTATGATGCTGACATCTTTTGGTGCCCATTCCTCTTCCAAGATGAAGTTGACCACAAGAGTTCTTTATGTAGACAATTGCCTAGTCTGCATCCTGGGTGTTTTATTTTGGGACGATTAAAGCTGTACAGTTTGTAGATACTTAGAGGTCTGAAGGATGGCATGTGGAAGGCCAGGCATATAGTTCAGTTGGTAGAGTATTTGCCCAGCATGTATAAAACCTTGGGTTTCATCCCCAACACAGCACAAGCCGGGTACTACGGCATTGCCTGTAGTCACAGCACTTGGGAGGGAAAGGCAGGATAAGAAGTCCAGGGTCAGCCGGGCGGTGGGGGTGGCGGCGGTGAGGGCCTTTAATCCCAGTACTCAGGAGGCAGAGGCAGGAGGATCTCTGCAAGTTTGAGGCCAGCCTGGTCTACATAGTGAGTTCCAGGACAGCCAGAGCTACACAATGAGACCCCATCTCAAAGTCCAAGGTCTTCTGTAGCTACACACTGAGTTGGAGGCCAGCCTGGGCTACATGAAACCCTGTCTCAAAAAATAAATAGAGATGGTGGAGAGCTTTCCTCATGTTACTGAGATGTTTCCCTTCCTTTCCTCTTACTGCTGTTACTAATGCTTGTTTTTTTCTTTCAGAGCAAAATATGCTATAAATTCCATCAAGAAGAAGGTCAATGACAAGAACCCACACGTGGCTCTGTATGCCCTGGAGGTAACTAGAACCCTGCTGCGTGTCTTTTGGTCTCCACTGTCAGGCAGCCATGCCCAAATTCCAGGAACATAGTGGCCAGTGGAATCCCTCTAGCACTAAGCACAGTTGTGAGCATCGCCACTGAGCTTGAGCAGGCTTATGGGAAGAGAGGAAGTAGCAGAGATGCTGCTTCTCCACCTGTGGTCCAAACAGACACCGTGAAGGATGAGATGGCGGTCACCTTTGACCACAGGGTGTTACCAGGCCTGTAGCCTGTCTTTGGGTGCTGCTGGGGATCTCTGACAGGTTGAGTGGGCTCAGAGACCTGTGGAGGCCCGTCTTCCAGCAAGAGAAAGGCCCTGCCCTGGACACAAGCTAGGCCTTTATCTTCCTTGGGATTTTCAGGTGATGGAGTCTGTGGTAAAGAACTGTGGCCAGACAGTCCATGATGAAGTGGCCAACAAACAGACCATGGAAGAACTAAAGGAGCTGCTGAAGGTATGTGTCATGAGAGAAGGTGGAGGTAGCTATACTACCAGCTCCTGTAAGTGTTTGTGGGCCCTACGGCAAGGGGAGCAATGGGTGTGAAAGAGGAGGTCCCTGTGAGTGGTCTGTGAGTCCGTCCTAGGCCCGGGGAGAGACACCTCCAGGCTCATGTGCATGAGGAAGACACTGTTCTTGGACCAGGAAAGGCTTCAGAAGCATGGCATGGGGCTGAGTCTTTAAGGACTGTGGGCAGAGGTGGTCATGGAGTATCTGTGTAAGTAGGAGCTTGGGGAAGAGGTTTGGAGTAGCACATTCAGGGGTGGGAGGGATCTGAGCAGTGGAGGTGCAGAAGTTAAAGGTTAGGTGTATCTGTGACAGAGTCAGGAGGGCAGAATGGTAGAGCAAGGGGTTGCCCCAGGGAGGGAGGAGGGAAAGCCTCTGGATCCATGTGAGATTGTCCCCAGCACCACCTGGGGGGTTGTGATGTGGATGGTGGTGCAGCTGGGTTGTTGGGTTGGGCAAAGTGATGCTGTTTCATGGGACACAGCATCAGGCTTTGGTCTCACAGGAGGCTCCACCCTCAACCCATGCTGCCGAGAACCTGTCTCAGGCACTGAGCTGTTAGCTGGGCCCTTCTCACTTGGGGCCTGAATCAGACCTGGGCCAGTTTATCGCATAGCTGGAGGATGGCAAAGCATCCAGAGACCTCCTGCCGGGGTGTCGCGCACTTGGTTTGTTATCCTGCAGAGGCACCAGGATGGGTCATGACCTCCCAAGAGAGTGTCTTTTGTGGATCCAGTTGTGGGACTGTTCCATGGAGAAATGGAGAGGGAAACATGGTTGTAGATCAGGAGCATGGAGCAGTGTAGCTTCTGGAAGTCCTCTGACCTCTTTCAGGATTAAGAACTGTGACGCTGCGCATGTGTACATACTCAGGAGAGTCGCTCCTGCGTTAGATTAGTGCCTGGTATCCCAGGGACTCCCCTTGGCCTTTATGCCACTTGTCTCTATTCAGGGCAGTTGGTCTGCTCGATGCCTCTTCCCACTGAGGCCTCAGACTCTTCTCCTGCAGCCCTCTCCACTTCTTGCCCCACAGAGGCAAGTGGAGGTTAATGTTCGGAACAAGATCCTGTACCTGATCCAGGCCTGGGCACATGCCTTCCGGAACGAGCCCAAGTACAAGGTGGTCCAGGACACATACCAGATCATGAAAGTAGAAGGTGAGTTAGAACTGCCCCAGCTCCAGGCTGGGAACAAGGCCACCAGGAGCCTTAGGGTTGTTTTGCTAGCAATTAGCTAAATCGTCCCAGTGATAAGGGACAAGGGAGGGTAGAGTGGTCCTCCCTGAGTGATTGGCATGAGACTAAGGAGGTGGTGTTCCCCAAGTCTTGGAAAGCCCCATGGAGAGAGGTCAGGCTCTGATGAGGCCCTGCTTTCTACACCTCCACCCAGCAGGGACGCAGTAGACTATCTTTTCAGGCAGGAAACAGTAAAGTCTGGTGACAGGTATACTCAGAGTGATATGCTTCTTGGGGTAGCACAGGATGAGCGATCTTGGAAGACCTCTCAAGTCAGTACAGTGGATCCTAGGAGTTCTGAGCAACCCCAGGACCTTGGCACATTTTTTTATTTTGTTTTGTTTTGTTTTCATGTGTATGGATACTTTGCCTGCAGTGTATGTCTGTGGACCACATGCGTGCCTGGTACCTCGAGGTCAGAAGGGGGTGCAGGACCTCCTGAGGACTAGAGTTACAGATGGTTGTGAGCCGCCATTTGTGGGCTGGGTCAAACTGGGGTCCTTTGGAAGAAGTAGCCAGTGCTTAACCACTAGGCCGTCTCTCCAGCTCTGCCTTGGCACCTTTTGCAGAGGGCTCCAGTTCAGATCCTGGGGTCAGAGTGCACTGGACATGCTGGAGGGACAGAAGAGTGGCTCGTGCCAGAGGAGAGCAAGACCAGGATGTGCTATTGCTGTGTGCGTAGCAGGAAGTCACTCGCAGATTTTAGACCAGGGCCTGGCGGCTGAAGAGTTTTTCTTCCTCTCTCTCTCTCTGTCTCTCTGTCTCTCTCTCTCTCTTTTCTCTCTGTAACAGTCTAGCTGTCCTGGAACTTGATATGTAGATCAGGCTGGCCTCGAACTCACTAAGATCCACCTGCCAATGCCTCCCAAGTGCTGGGATTAAAGGTGTGCACTGCTACTGCCCAATGGAATCATGAACCCTTTTCAACCTGACCTACGGTAACAACTGCTGTTTTTTTTTCTTCTAGGACATGTCTTCCCGGAATTCAAGGAAAGCGATGCCATGTTTGCTGCTGAAAGAGTGAGTTCTGGGTCATCCACTGCTAGTCAGTCTTAGAAGCTCTTTTGGGGAAGGAGGAGGGAGGTCCTGGGACTCTGTAGGGATGGCTCATGCCTTTAGTCCTAGCATTCCAGAGGAGGATTGCCATGAACTCTAGGACATCCTCTGCTAAGTATGTAATGAGACTCTGACTCAAAAGAAAGAAAATGTGAAGGCTTGGGGATTTAGCTCATTGTAAAGCTTTTGCCTACCATGAACGAAGTGATTCAGGGTTCAGCACTCAGCAAAGAAAAGAAAATAAAAAGCAGTGTTCCTGTAGGTCAGGTTGAAAAGGGTTCATGATTCCATTGGGCTGCAGCTACTGGGTTCATGTGGCTAAAAAAGTGTTTAGGCTTGGAGTGTGCTTCAGGGGTAGAGCATTTACTTGGCTTGTACAAGGCTCTGGGTTTAATCTCTAGCACTATTTTTAAAAAAAGAAAAGGAAGCAAAGAAAGAAAAAACAAGGGAGTGAATTCCTTTATACGACCTTAGAACGAGGCTAGTTGCAATGGCGTACACCTTTAATCTCAGAACTTTGGAAGCTGAGGCAGGCATATCTCTGTGAGTTTAAAGCCAGCCTGGTCTACACAGCGAGTTGCAGGACAGCCAGGGCTACATAGAGACCCTATTTCAAAAATATAGCAATAACATGAAACTCCACATCCACAAATCAGGATTATACCTTTGACAGGAAGTCAGTTAGAAGGTTTTTTTTTTTCCGAAGCAACTTAACTCTGGGTCATGTGGTTTGGGCTCCTAATTTGGGGGATTGGCACACCGGGACCCTCTCTGGGTGCCTTTCCTGTCTGGGACATGGGGTAAGTTCTGCCGTCTCGGGCACTTGGAAGGGAATGTTATGTGATCATGATTGTTGTCCCTAGGCCCCTGACTGGGTGGATGCGGAGGAATGCCACCGGTGCAGAGTACAATTTGGGGTGGTGACCCGTAAAGTGAGTACCCCAGGGACTTGAGTGCTCAGTTCCACGCCCCTGCCATCTTCTCAAAAAGCCATGCTCCTCTTGAGTGATCCTGTCTCTTCTGCTCCAGCCTGATGGTTTTGGAGGCAAATCCAGCTAAGAACTGGTTGGTACTTGAGGCAAGAGCTTGGTATTTGGCCTCTATGATGATCAGTACCCTCATTTGAAGTTTGCCTCATGGGCAAGGCCCAGTTTCACCGTGGGGATCTGACCTCCCAAGCTTAGGCTGAGGTCTGAGTCAGAACCACTACTGTAGTATTTCTCCAGGGTTGGGTGAAGACTCATATCTTCTCCTCCTCTTCCTTTTTTTTTTTTCTTCAAGTGTAGCCCCAGCTGTCCTGGATCTCGCTCTGTATGCCAGGCTGGCATCGAACTCACAGAGATCTGCCTGCCTCTGCCTACTGAGTGCACTACTCTGCCTGTTGCTTAATTTTAATTCCTTTCTTTTCCTCCAAATGGTGGCTGAAATTGAGTTTCCTACAAGTCTCCATCTCTTTTACTCTGCTTGTCCTCGCCCCTGTCCCTGCTCCAATTCGTAACATTGTCCAAGGCAGTTCTGGCTGATAGGCAATCAGGGTAACCATAACCAGTGTCACTGGACCTGTCCTGCTCTATCTCACAGCACCACTGCCGGGCATGTGGACAGATCTTCTGCGGCAAGTGCTCTTCCAAGTACTCCACCATCCCCAAGTTCGGCATTGAGAAGGAGGTGCGCGTGTGTGAGCCCTGCTATGAGCAGCTGAACAAGTGAGTTGTAGACTCCCTGGGCACTCTGTCATGCTTCAGGGCTATAGACCTCACAGGCTCCTGAAGCATTGTCAGAAGTGTTAAGAGGCAAGCCCATGCAGCTATACCAGGCAGCTCCACCATCCCAGACTCCAGAACAGGTGGATGGGTAGGGTGACGTGGCCCCACAGTAGCCCAATCTACATAGCAAGTTCCAGATCAGCTAAGGTCTACGTGAGACCCTGTCTCAAAAAGAACCAAAACGAAAGAAAGACATAATGCTTACAGAAAAGGGGCAAGTGTGGTACAAGGTGTGTCTACAGGGACACGTGTGCAAGCCCTTCCCTTGGGTTCCTCGGCGGTGGTTTGTCTGATCAATCTTATCTTTACCCCCCCCCCACCACCACCACCTTTGTATCTGTTTCTATTTTATTCTAAATTTTAACATTTGTTGGGATTGGGAAGGAGTCATAATTGGGTGTGAGTGCTAATGCTGTGGTTGGTGTGCCTATGGGGTCGATTCTCTTCTTTCTGGGGAACAAAATTAAGTCCATCTTGCTGGCTCTGCAGGCACTTTACGCCCACTGAGTGATTTTGATGGTCCTGAAGTGAGTTGTGGGTACTTCATGGTCCTTTATGCTTGAACATGCCCAGAGATGATCTGAGGTGTCGGTGCTGTGTTGTCATAGGTCATGTGATGTTGTGTTGCTAGCACCTGTCCTGTGGGTATTCCAGTTTGACCACTGTCCTAGAAAGGTCTTTGTGGCTTTGTCCCTGTTGGGATCTCTCAGGGCTTCAGAGCACAGTCTCTGTATTATCATACTTTCCCAGGTTCCTTGACCAGGATAGTGTTTTCAGCCTCTGTTACGTGTGATGCATGTTCCCAGGGTGCGGGCCCTGTGTACATCCCTCCATTGGGATCTGTCTGAGGCTACTGGGTGCTTAGCTACAGAGTGTATGTTTCTGGTGAGAGCCCCAGGTGCGAGGCTGTGACCCTCTTCCATCTGTCACTGATGACCTTTGACCATTTGGGTGAGGAGGCTGCTCCTAAAGAAGCTCTTGTTTTTGTTTTGTTTGCCCTCCCCCGCTTTTTTTTTAATGTTCCAGAATACACTGACATTAAATAGGGTATGCATTTCAGTGAAGTCTACGGTGAATGACTGTGGATTTTGAAAAGCTTCACATGTAGTCAGAGCCAACATCACAGAAGCAGATAAGAGAATGTGTACCCAATCCCAGTTTATAGAGGGATCATTTCTTTTTTTTTCTTTTTCTTTAAAGATACATTTTTTTATTTTTTAAAGATCTATTTTATGTATATGAGTGCTCTGTCAGCATGTACACCTTTATGCCAGAAGAGAGCATCAGATCCCACTATAGATGGTTATGAGCCACCATGTGGGTGCTGGGAATTGAACTCAGGACCTCTGGAAGACCAGCCAGTGCTCTTAACTGCTGAGCCATCTCTCCAGCTCACTTTTTTATTTATTTTTAATTATATGTAGTGTTTGTCTGTGTATAGAGATGTACAGGTGTATGCAGGTGCCTGAGTAGGCCAGATGCATCAGATCCCTCTGGAATTGGAGTGACTGGTAGTCATGAGCTGCCTCATAGGGGGCTAGGAATCGGGTCCTCTGGAAGACAGAACATGTTTGTAGCTGCTGAGCCATCTCTCTAGCCCCAAGTACAGTGGATTTCTATGGCCAGTTGGTCACACTGAACATGGCATCACATCACTTGTCAGGGCACAGATTTTGCTAAAAGAAGCTCTTTTGCCTTAAATTGGGAAGGGCTTTGCTCCCAGATGAGTCTTGGCCTCGGCTTTTGCACAGTGCTTTCTATCTGTGAAACCCACCCTCGTTCCACAGAGGTCCATTTCCAACCATCGTGTCCTGTAATGCTGGCTGCTTGGCTTCCTTCCTCCCCTCAGTGTGTGTAGACATGCTTTAGCATGGTTTTTCTCTTAGAAAAGAGCATGTGTGGGTTGGAATCCTGGTGATGCTATATACATGTGGCCCTCAGCCGTGCTTTGTGGAGAAATCTCTGATCTGTCTCAAAGTCCAGAAAATTCTTGGCCTGCCTGGACCTTGCTGCCCTTACTGGCATCTTCTGAGGGGAGGCCCATTGCTGGTCATGGTAGGTGCAGTAGGCAGTGTCTAGGTGCTATAGAAAGGCCCTTGCTCAGCTCAGCCAGGAAAGGGTTTTGAATTGCCATTTCCAGGAGAGGAGCTGACTTAAGCCAAGTGACTCACTCATGTTCTGCAGCTGGCTGAGGGGCAAGGGTCCCCCCTGCCATTCCCTGGAGTGCGCATGGGGCCACCTGTCCCTGTAGGACCGTCATTGGTGGTCTTTGGAGGCTGGTGTCAGTGTGCGGTCACTTACAGTGTCTCATCTTGCCTGCAGGAAAGCAGAAGGAAAGGCTGCCTCTACCACAGAGCTGCCTCCCGAGTACCTGACCAGCCCCCTGTCACAGCAGTCTCAGGTACAAGGCCCCTCCTCGTCCCCAGAACACCTTTTCCCCTCTTCCCTGGGGCCCTCCTCACTCCCCTGTCTGTCCTCAGCTGCCCCCGAAGCGGGATGAGACAGCCCTGCAGGAAGAGGAGGAACTGCAGCTGGCTCTGGCCCTCTCACAGTCAGAGGCTGAGGAGAAAGAGAGGATGGTGAGCCGCGGAGCCCTGTGAGGGCTGATGGGGGGCCCCAGATGCTTGGAGAGGAGGTGTGTGGAGGCTCTCTTCCTTAGCCTGGGCCACATGCTCCCCTAATGATGTCTGTTCCTGGTTCTGCTTCAGAGACAGAAGTCGGCATACACAGCGCACCCAAAGGCAGACCCGACACCCCTGGCGTCGTCTGCACCCCCAGCCGGCAGTCTGTATTCCTCACCTGTGGTGAGCCATGTCAGCCAGGCTTCTGTCCTTCCAGGGGTCACCAAAAGGGTTCTGCTGGTTTGGGGCTTTCTTATAGGGTACGGAGGACACCAAGAGAGGCCCTGCCAGGGAGATGAGCCTCCCACACTTCCTTACATATATTAATTATTACAGATCTCACCTCCTGGAGATCCGCCTCACTCCCACCCCCAGTCTGTAAACGGGATGGAGCTGACTTAGAACCTCACCCGGAAACTGCAGAGCTCTGTAGAATGGCCAGCCACAGATGGGCTGGTTGAGGAAACTCCCCCTCCTCCCCAGGTCCACACACTAGGGCTTCATTAGAGCTCAGCACAGTGTCCATGCAGTGTTGGCACCTGTCCTAGGAAGTCAGTAAGGCCTGGCCGGTGCTGCTGCCCTGTACCTTATAAAGATTTTAGTGATACATGACAGTTTCATAACTCAGGATCTTAAGAGTTTATTGCCCAAAGTGAGTTCCAGGAAAGACACAAAACTACACAGAGAAACTCTGCCTCAAAAAAACCAAAAAAAAAAAAAAAAAAAAGAGTATATTGCCAAGAAGGAAAGTGGATGCCAGCCCCAAAGGGCCTGTGAAGGGAAGGGCTGGCAGGTGCCAGACAGGTGGCTAGATCATTGGCCAGCCCTGCGATCTCAGCCCTGTGATCTGCTGTTATTTGGTGCCATCCGGGTTCCTGTCTAAATGACTGCTTGGGGATCACATCATTGCCTCCTTCCTCCTGTCATTCCTCAGACTCTGCTTGTCTCCCCAGAACTCATCGGCACCTCTGGCTGAGGACATGGACCCTGAGGTAAGCAGCACAATGTCGGATGCTACACGCTGCTGCTTCCTAACTCACACCAGTAACTCCTTCTCCCTCCTTTATTGCTTCACAGCTTGCTCGGTACCTCAACCGGAACTACTGGGAGAAGAAACAGGAAGAGGCTCGGAAGAGCCCCACACCATCTGCACCTGTGCCCCTTACGGAGCCAGCTGCCCAGCCTGGGGAGGGCCATACAGCCCCCAACAGCATGGTGGAGGTAAGACTCCTCTGTACTCTTGACTGTCAGACCTTAGGGCAAGGTATGAAGCTGGCCAAAGATGCCCTTATTCTCTGCTCTCTTCCAGGGTCCTCTTCCAGAGACAGACTCTCAGTCCATAACTCCCTCCAGTGGCCCCTTTAGTGAGGTAAGCTCTGCATCCTGTCCTGGTTGGAGGGCTATGTTAGAGCAAGAAGTCTCTCAGGCTCCAGCTGCCCTGTGGTCCCCATGCTCCAGAGAAGCTCAGAGGAGGCCCTCCCTCTCCCTCGACTTCTGAGCTGTCTGCCCGTGATACCTAGGCAGGGGTTTCTACCCAGCTCTGAGTTGAGGAACAGTGTCCTGGTGGATGAGACCCTCGGTTTGCGCTTTGTTGCTTTGTGTGCAGACCAGGGGTGCTGATGATTTCCACTTGTCAAGCAGGTTAAGGACTAGATCATTGTCCGTGCCAGGCTCTAAACACAGTGGGCAACGCCTGTCTGCCAGCCTGGTACCTTCACAAGGATACTTCCTAGGCTTAGGAGGCAGAGTGTTCACCCCTGGCGTGGTGGTACTCAGCCACCTGCTTTACGTCTCCAGCAGTACCAGAATGGGGAGTCAGAGGAGAGCCACGAGCAGTTCCTGAAGGCCCTCCAGAATGCCGTCACCACCTTTGTCAACCGTATGAAGAGCAACCACATGCGGGGCCGCAGCATCACCAACGACTCGGCTGTGCTCTCCCTCTTCCAGTCCATCAACAGCATGCACCCGCAGCTGCTGGAGCTGCTCAACCAGCTGGATGAGCGCAGGTGTAGGTGTCCAAGTGCCTCCGAGGGTCACTCTAGAGCCATGGTGGGCGGCACGGGTTTCAGCTCTCACAGGCAGTAGTCTTGTGAGCCCCATTTGGTGGTTAACTTAATTGTTCCTGGGTCTTGTGAGACCAGGGCTCCTGGTCCGTACTCCACTGAGGCTCTTGATTCCTCCAGAGAATGCTCTTGGGCAGTGTTCCTGTTGGTGGGGCCTGCTCTGCTCCTTTCCAGCCACAGCCCAGTGCCAGCAGCCCTGCCCAGACAGAGCAGAAGTCCATACCAACTAGGCCTCCAGGCTGTGAGCGATCTGAGCTGCCCTGTTCTTTGCACACAGTGTACTATGAGGGGCTCCAGGATAAGCTGGCACAAATTCGTGATGCCCGAGGAGCTCTGAGTGCCCTCCGTGAGGAACACCGGGAAAAACTGCGCCGGGCAGCTGAGGAGGCCGAGCGCCAACGCCAAATCCAACTGGCACAGAAGCTGGAGATCATGAGGCAGAAGAAGCAGGTGTGGCACCTGACCTGGCATGTGGGTAGGGGAGGCCCAGGCTAGCCTGACCACCACCTGTCTGTTGGCTTTAGGAGTACCTGGAGGTACAGAGGCAGTTGGCTATCCAGCGCCTGCAGGAGCAAGAGAAGGAACGACAGATGCGCCTAGAGCAGCAGAAGCAGACGGTCCAGATGCGCGCCCAGATGCCTGCCTTCCCCTTGCCTTATGCCCAGGCATGTGCTACCCACCCCGCTTTGCCCCTCATGGGCCAAAGACAACCACACTGACTGTTGGCTCTCCTTTGTCTCCAGCTCCAGGCTATGCCCACAGCTGGGGGTGTACTCTACCAGCCCTCAGGCCCAACCAGCTTTCCTGGCACCTTCAGCCCAGCAGGCTCAGTAGAGGGCTCCCCAATGCATGGTGTGTATATGAGCCAGCCAGCCCCAGCCACTGGCCCCTACCCCAGCATGCCTGGCACCACATCAGGTAACCTTGCCAGCTTGCAGAGGTTGTGAGACTACTACAAAGCATTTTCCAAATTCTCTAAGTGAATATTTTTCTACAGTTGCTTTTTCCTGTCCATATGGAAACATCTGTTCATATACACAACTTCCTTCCTGATCTCTTCTAGAGTGAGGGGCAGGTGGAAGAAGCCCTTCACCCACAATGCATTTCCTAAAATCAGGATGTGCTCACAGATGGGACAGTGGATCACAGCAGGTCACTATCACACTGCCCCAGCCAAGACTTCTGTGCTGATAGAAAAGCCCTTGTTACTGTATCTGTCAGCCTGTCCCACCTTGTTCTCTTCTGAGCACTGCACATTCTGTTTTGGGCTGTGTGGTGCTGACCTGAGCACCTCATGAGCACCGTCCTGAAGTTGGCAAGTTGCCTTCAGCTTGGTTTGTCTGGTGGTTGTACTTGCTTATGCCATGGACTACACCTTTAGCCAGAAAGGCACAAGATGGAGCTGTGGCATGTGAGGTACATTGTGTTGCTTAGTACCGTCACTGCTATGGGCTGCGGTGGCTCAGCAGGCATCTCATCACTTCTGTGGGGCTGCGGTGGGTTCCACGGTCATCTCATCTGTTTCCATTATCAGTAGGTGTCATTTTAGAAAAGACCTTGAGACAGCAAATCCCTTGGTACTCAGACTCCTGCATCTTCCAAGTTTTGCTTGAACTTGTGTTTGCCAAGTGGTACCTTTCTCTTAGCCACCATCCTTCCTCCGGAGGAGGTGCTTTCCCTTCTCTGCCCTTGTCATTTATGTAGGTGTGAACGTGTGAACATTTTGTTCACAGGGGAACAGTTCTTTACTGCTACAGACGGGGTCTCTCTGTGTGGCCAGGCTGACCTCACAGAGACCCACCTGCCTCTGCCTCCGGAGTGCTGGGACTAAAGACGTGAGCTACCATCACCCAGCTGTTTGTTTTCTGAGATAGGGTCTCTCTGTGTGGCCCTGGCTGGCCTTGAACTCATAGAGATCCACCTGCTTCTGCCTTCTGTGTGCTGGAATTAAAAGTGTGTGGCACTACCCCTGGCCAAGTTTTATGCTTTTAATTATATGTGTATCTGTGTCCTTGTCTTAAGTATGTGCATGGGAGTACAGGTACTTTCAGAGGCCACAAGAGGTAGCTGGATCCTTTAGAGCTGTAATTACAGGCGGTTGTGAGCCACCTGACATAGGAACTGAGCTCTAAACTTGAATCCTCTATAAGAGGAGTGTGCTCTGAGCCAGGCAGTTGTGGTGCACACCTTTAAGCCCAGCACTTAGGAGGCAGAGATAGGTAAATATCTCTGAGTTCAAGGCTAGCCTGGTCTACTGGGTGAATACCAGGACAGCCAGGCTACACAAAGAAACCCTGATTGAGAAAACCGAACAAACAAACAGAGGAGTGTGCTCTTATATCTGCTGAGCCATCTCTCTGTCCCAGTTTCTGTTGACTTTAATGCTCATATTATCATTGGTAGGGCCCATGTGAGTCTGCCAACCACTTCTGTAACCTTTACTAGCCTGTCACCTTTTGACCAGGTCAGCTTAGTACTCTGCTTGGCTTGTTCATTCTTTGGATCTCTGGGATCCTGCTTCCTCTTTGTGGGGATAGCCATTAGAAGCAAAGTCTCAGGCTGTATATGGTGGTGTACAGCTATAATCCAACACTTGAGAGGTTGAGGCAAGAAAATCCTAAGTGCAAGACCTGTGTTCCAACAGACAGTAAGGCTTGGCTTCTTAGGGTGGTCACAGAGGACTTTGTAGAGTGTGTCGATGTGGTATGCAGACTAAGTTCACTCTGCTTCTTCTCATCCTCACAGCTGGGGTGTCCTTCGTTGTCCCTGATATATTTGTTCATTTCTGTCCAACATGGTCTTTCCTGGAGTGTTAGCCTGAGCTACCGTAGGAGCCGGTGTCTGTATTTGCTCCTCTTGTCTGGATTGTGAAACTCCAAGTTAGGAGCTTCAGAATTCTCATGTCAGCTCTTCTAGCCCCTTCCCTTCACCCCTTCACTGTGACTAGCGCTTGTTTCAGTACAGTTTGAAGGGTGAGGCTGTAGCTCAGGTAGAGCACCTACCTACCTACCATGTACAAGACCTTGGCTCGGTTCAGCCCTAGCACTACCAAAACAAAAAGAATTAGGTTCTTTTTTTTTCTTTCTGCTTTCATTTTCTTTTAGGGCCTATTTTCTCCCTTATTGGCTTTACCTACGTTTTATAAGAATGTGAAACATGTACTTGGTTCTGAAAGACACAACAAAAGGAGAACCCCAGGAAGGGGCATTCTCTTCTCACTCTGTCATTCTGAACCAGCTCATCTTTCTTGTCACAGATCCCAGCATGGTCAGCGCCTACATGTACCCAGCAGGTGCCCCTGGGGCACAGGCAGCCCCACAGGCCCAGGCTGGGCCCACCACCAGCCCGGCCTACTCCTCCTACCAGCCCACCCCAACCCCAGGCTACCAGGTATGTGGGCAAGGCAACCAGCTCCCTCTCACCTGCTGCCAGCCTTTGCCTGTTCCTTCACTTCACCCCCTTCCTTCCATAGACTGTGGCATCTCAGGCCCCACAGAGCCTCCCAGCCATCTCCCAGCCTCCACAGACCAGCACCATAGGCTACATGGGGAGCCAGCCAATGTCCATGGGCTACCAGCCATACAACATGCAGGTAAAGAAACCTAGTCTCTGCTGGGCTTGGCACAGGACAGGTCCTTCCATCTTGGGCTTTCTTCAAGCCAGAAAGATCTGCGTCTCTCTTGTCACAGTCTACTCAGTGTTGGGCTCCATCTCACTCTCCACAGAATCTCATGACTACCCTTCCAGGCCAGGACGCATCGCTGCCGGCCCAGCAGCCCTACATCGCAGGGCAGCAGCCCATGTTCCAGCAGGTGAGCCACGCCCCTGCTTCCTTTGATCCCTTGCACTGGTTTATACTCAGGGGCTTTCTCAGAATGGGGACATGCAAGTCAGTGCAAACACATGCACCTGTATGCTGCATAAGAGAAGACAGCTTGACAGGAGCCTCGTGAGTGCATTGGCAGTATGGGCAACAACCGGACATCTACTCTGATGAGATGAAGCTTGTTCTAAACAAAAGCTCTTGTGTGTGAAAAGAAGGGTGATGAGGTCTGTCTGCTCTTCCTCTTCAGATGCCACCCTCCACTGGCCCTCCCCAGCAGCAGCCCCCTGTGGCCCAGCCACCGCCTACACAGGGACCGCCAGCACCGGGCAGTGAAGCCCAGCTCATCTCATTTGACTGACTTTGAGTCTGGCACTCATCATCCAGAGTAACACTACGGTTCACCAGAAACCACTTACGTGTCTAACTAGCCGTTTCTCCCCCATCACTGCCCTGTAGTATCCCTTCTCCTGTGAGCAAGGGGCGGGCCTTCACCCCTGGCCCTCTTCCCTGTCCTCAGTGGTCTGGTTCCTGTCACTGGTTCCCTGCTTTGATCCTGATGCAGTCTGACTTTCCCTGGGCCTGGGACTTTGCAGGGTGGGTAGGACCTTCTCTGAGGAGTGCCCAGCTGTGTTGGAGCCTGCCACAGGATGCTTAGCCTGTCCCAGAGAGTCTGGTGTGAACTGTGTGGTGTCCAGGCATGGCTCTGGTACCCCGAAAGAACAGCAAGGGTGGAGGCTTCAGGCATCGCTAGCTTCCCTACTCCTCAGTCGTCGTCTCTCCAGTGCAGAACAGTGATAATAAAGTGTATTTCAAAAGCTGTCCTGAGTGTTTGGTGGGGCAGCGGGCTCACTTTTGGACCAGGGTGGGAGGTACTGGTCGAGAAGTCTTAGATGTCTCCTTGCGAGTGGGGACTCTGTATTGACTCACGTGGCACAGGATATCACCCAGCAGTTGTAAAAAGGGCGCAAAAGTGGGCTTTTACAGTCTTAATGGATCCAAACCACCGCTTAAGGTTTCAGTTCTCAATATCTCACCCTGGAATGCATTTCAACCTGATTTCTGGTGAGGACACTGAAGCCCTAAGTGTTGCGCTTTCCCTCTCAGCTAAGCGCCTGCCTCGGTGGAACGTGATTGCGCCTAGTCAAGAGCTCTCCGCCTTGGGGAGGGGTTCCGGGCTGCTAGAACAACGGACTGGGCCCTTCGCTTAAGTTTAGGGAACTGCACTCCTTATATCGCTAATCTCTTGGGCGACTGAGCTGAATTCATGGGTCTACACGGGCGAGCTCCGCATGTAGGGGGCGCCTGTGGATTTTGCGGGAGAAACAAAAGGTGCCCCACAGGGTTTTCGGAGATAACCACTAGCCCAGCACTACTTCCGGGCCCAGACTGCGCCTGCGCGTCGCGCCGCCTAGTGCGTAATATCAGGAGCCAACCCAGACGAGAGCCGCGGTCCTCGGCGCCAATGCTTGGAGGCCTTGCTGCTAGAGCGGCCGGTCCAGCTCGCCTGCTCTCGGCTAGAGCGTCGCTTCCGCAGAGAGCCGCGTGTGACCTTCCCGCCTGCGGAGCGATGCTGCCGGCGGCGGCTAGCCGCCTGTGGGGGCCGCGGCTTGGGCTGCGGGGAGCTGCGCTCCGCCTTGCCAGGTATAGTGGGGGGGGGGGGTCTAGAGCGCTGTTGCCGGGACGACGGGCTAGAGCAGGTCCGAAGGGAACGGGTGGCGGGCGCATGGCCACCTTCCGCGGCCCTGCTGGTGGGGCGTGGAGAGGACGGCTCGGCCTGGGCGACCTTGGGCGCAGGTACCTTTTGTCCCAAGCTTCCCGCCCCTGCGACCCATCGCTGTGGACGGCAGCGTAGCCCGAGGTCGGCGCTTTGCAATGCTTGGTGCAGCAGAATGCACCCTCTAGGTTGATGTATTTCATTCAACCAGAAGCCTGCTGCTTCGTGCAGGATTACCGACATAATCCTTTGGGATCCTGAGACTCTTTGTCAAATGTAGGGAAGCTTTGAAGGCCCCTTAGCCCCAACTGGTGAATTTTGGGCCCAGTTGTGGCGGACAGAGCACATGAACCATTTGTGCCCTCCGGATCTCCTCAGTCTCCCCCTTTCACGGGTCTGATGCCTGTTTGCATGGGGGTCTAGGCAACAGGTCCCCGGTGTCTGTGCAGCGCGGCAGTTGAGGAGCAGCAGCCAGCGAAAGAGTGAAGCCCTCGCCGGTGCACCTCTGGATAATGCCCCCAAGGAATATCCTCCCAAGATCCAGCAGCTGGTCCAAGATATTGCCAGCCTTACTCTCCTGGAGATCTCAGACCTCAACGAACTCCTGAAGGTATTGGGAGAGAGCTCCACAGACCAGGACTAAGGTCCCTGTCTTCTGTTTGTATTTTGGGAGTTTGGTAATTTGTCAAACCAGGGTCAGAGGTCCCTGTCCCTTCTGGATGTGTTTCGGGAGTTTGGTAAATTGTCAGACATGCTTTCCGAGATGCCAGAGCCAACAGGCTTGTGCCTCCATCAGAAAGTACATTCGGGGTTTAACAGCCAGCCACTGAGACTTCTCTTCTGTCCTACAGAAAACATTGAAGATCCAGGATGTCGGCCTTATGCCAGTGGGTGGCATGATGCCTGGTGCCGTCCCTGCTGCACCTGCAGCCCCTGAGGTGAGCCTAGGCAATAGGAAGAGCCATTTCTGTGTGCCTAGTGAACTGTTGGCCTCAACATGTGGCACATTTCTCTAGCCCCGGCTTGGGTCTGCAGCTGTCATTAGTGTGTCCCCTTTGTGGGCTCCCCTGCAACACTTCTGGGAACTCCTCTGCCAAAGGCATGCAAGGTCTTGTTCTGTTTATTTATTATTGTACGTATGTGTGGGTGTGCACGTTACAGCACATGGGGAGCGGTCGAGGGACAACTTTGGGGAGTTCTCTCCTTCCACAGAGGGTTCTGAGGATCAAACACGTCCACAAGTTCCTCTGCGCTCTGAACTATGCTGGTTGGTAGACATTATTTCCTACAGAAGGAAGCACAGTGGTGTGAAGAGATGAATGGTAGCATCAGACAGCAGAGTCATAAGTGCTATTGAGAAAGTAGGCAAGGTGCGGGGACGTGGTGTTAATGTTGGAGTGCCAGCGCCCCGCTTTGGGTTGGCAGGCCAGTAGGGAAGCAGCTTAAGTTGGGTAGAAGGCTGGAATTGCAAAGAATAAAACCTGAAGGTGTTGAGGAAGAGAAAGCAAGGCACTCCTCACAGATCTAGCCGACAGACCCGAGCAATATTTAAAAACTGGGTAGGGTCTGGGCGTGGTAACACACACCTTTAATCTTAGCACTTGGGAGATAGAGGCAGGCACATCTCTGAGTTCTAAGCTGTCCAGGACTAGATTCAAGTCAAATATTCTGTTTTGTTTTAAAGGTTTATTTTCATTCATATATGTGTGTGTGTACCATATGTATGTGGGTCCCTAAAGAGGACAGAAGAGGGTGTTGGATTCTTTCCAGCTGGAGTTATAAGCCCTTGTGACCAGCCTGACGTGACATGGGTGCTGGGAACTAAACTGATGTCCCTCCAAAAGAACAACATATTCTCCTAACTTGAACTATTTCTAGCCCAAACTGAACTTCTGAAGCAAGGGTAGGATTCGTTGTCTAAGGTGGAGTACTTTTGGAAAAGATCCATTCTGTGCACCCCCAATCCAGTCATGCCCCAGGGCTGAGCTGGGCCATAAGGTCTCTATATATCAGATCAGGAGGACCACGGTCCACCTGTCCCAATGTGAGCTGTCTTGCAAGAGCGGGGCTTTAAATGTTGTCATTTAGCCAGCCTGTAGTAGCACACACCTTTAATCCAAGCACTTGGGAGGCAGAAGCATGCTGATCTCTTGAGTTCAAGGCCAGCCTGGTCTGCAGAGTGAATTCTAGGGCAGCCAGGGCTGGTACACGGAGAAACCCTGTCTCGGAGGAGGGGTGGGGAAGTTGTCATTGGTTATTGACACATAGGTTTTGTTGGCTGAGGACTGAAGTCGTCCTGATTTTCTATAACTTTATTATCTGCAAAGCATTTGTTATTCTCCCTGCCTCATAAGTACAATTGCTTGTTACCTGTGTGTGCTCACATGTGTTCATGTGGAAACCTCTCTTGTTCAAGTACCACTCACCTTATTTTGAGATGAAGTTTCTTACTTAGCCTGGTGTAACGAGCCTTTTTCTGTCCCGCCAGTCAGCTCCGAAATAATGACATGGAGACCTGTTATAAATTATGAAAGCTTGGCCGAGCGCCGGTGGCGCACGCCTTTAATCCCTGCACTCGGGAGGCAGAGGCAGGCGGATCTCTGTGAGTTCGAGGCCAGCCTGGGCTACAGAGTGAGTTCCAGGAAAGGTGAAAAGCTACACAGAGAAACCCTGTCTCGAAGAAAAAAAAAAAAAAAAAAATTTATGAAAGCTTGGCCTTAGCTTAGGCCTGTTCCTAACGAGTTCCTTAAATTAACCCATTTATATTAATCTACATTTTATCGCATGGCGTTACCTCTCCTTCATCTTGCACCTCCTGTTTCCTGTTCATATCTTCTGCACGCCTAGATTCCTCCTCTTCCTTTCCCCAGGAATCCTGCCTGTACCTCCTGCCTAGCTATTAGCCATTCAGCTTTTTATTACACCAATTACAGCAATACGTCTTCACACAGTGTACAAATATCCCACAACAGTCTAGAACTTGCTGAAAAGGCTAAGCTGGCTAGCCAGTCGGCCCTCAGGATCTTCCTGTCTGCCTCATTGGTGCTAAGGTAACCGGCACAAGCTGCCATGCCCGGGCTCAGGGATCAGACCCAGGTCCTCGCACTTGCAAGGCAAATGCTGCTTCATCAACTGAGCCGTCTACTCAGCCCCTCATCAGTTACAGTTTTAAAGAGGTAAAATGAGCCAGGCGTGGTAGCAGACACCTTTAATTCCAGCACTCAGGAGGCAGAGGCAGGTGGATCTCTGTGAGTTTGAGGCCAGTCTGGTCTACAGAGTGAGATCCAGGACAGCCAGGGCAACACAGTAACTGTCTTGAAAACCTGGGGGGATGGGGCAAAATGTCAGGAGATGGGGGAATGTGAGGCTTGTTTCAGGGTCTTGCCCTGTGGGGAGATAGACGCAGATCTAGATGAAAGAGTAGGGTCTGGTATGAGTGGTGGCCTGCCTGGTATGCTTTGTAGAGGGCAGAGCTCAGAGTCCACTTGGATCTTACCTGCAGGTCCTGGTGGGCAGCCTTACCTCACCCTTCCAATTTACCTCTTTGTTTCCACACCCTAAGGTGACTGAGGAAGAAGACATCCCCAAAAAGAAAGAACGGACACATTTCACTGTCCGCCTGACAGAAGCAAAGCCTGTGGACAAAGTGAAACTGATTAAGGAGATCAAGAACTACGTCCAGGGCATAAACCTGGTGCAGGTGGGACCCTATTCCCCCTTCCTGAGAGCCTTCCCTGTGTTAGGACTGAAAGAAAGGCACTAGGTCTTTCTTCGTTGGGCTTCGTAATGACAACTCAGTACCCCAATGTTTACTGCTGTCTCTTTTAGGCCAAGAAGCTAGTGGAGTCCCTGCCCCAGGAGATCAAAGCAAACGTCGCCAAAGCTGAGGCTGAGAAGATCAAGGCAGCCTTGGAAGCAGTGGGTGGCACTGTAGTTCTGGAGTGACACCCCTGTTCTGAGGACTTTTGGACTGGGGTCCCTGGGACCTGGGCACAGGCCTGCTCACACCTGCTTCACTCCCAGGTGGTATGTTGGGAGCAGCAGCTACTGACGCTGGTGACCGAATTCTGCTGGGAGAGGACAGGACGGACCTACTGTGATGGG